CCTACGCCGACGGCCAGAGGCCCGCGCATCTACATTTTTTCGCCTGACCCCATCAGTGCCGACCCAACTACACCACCACGCGCATGCCTCGCGGCGGATATGCGCAGCAGCAAGAAGGTTTCGGTCATCCCTTGAGGGTGAATCTAGCCCTGCTCGCCAGAAAGACCCCCCCCTTCACTACAACCCATGTCTAAGCAAAAGCTTGTCGAGGAGCGAGGGGAAAAGAAGGGACAGGGAACCTGTTCGACTGTTTAATTCGCACAGCGAGGCTGATGCTGATCAGGCGGCGGCTGTTGTTGTTGTCGTTGCTGTTGTTGCCTCGATGAAATCCTCCGCGTCATCTTCTCATTCGAACCGCACATAAATGGCTTGACACAGCTCGGGGCAAATCATGTGAAGCAATAACCTTGCACTGCCGTAAACTCTCTACAGTAGACTACATGTATGTGTCTCTAACTTTTGTTATCGGCATGAATCTGACCATTCGATCTAACCCGAGCTAAGTCGTCGCTTGTCCCCGCACGGATCGGAGCAGATCAGTCTGTGCATCAGAATATATTTGTGCTTCAGCAAGACGGTCTGCAGTATTCGACGATGCGATTCGCTCTCCTGGCCTGGCCTGTAAGTCTCCATCCACAGCAGGCCAAAACCCGACCTGCCCCGTGCCTTCGAGCCTGAACGCGCAAGTTACGTAACTGCTTGTGCGCCGCCCTTGCTGTGTGACCCGCCAAATGACCCGCCAAATCGGGCTGTGCATGCCGCAATATCTCCCTCGACACCGGAGTCTACCACTTGTACTGAAGTATTGTCGACCTGGGTCCAGGGTATCGTACAATAGACCTTGGGTCCAGGACACGCTCGCGTGTCAACATCCGCAGGAACCGCAAGGCAGGAGCAGATGAACGAGCACACCAGAATCGCGCCACGGCATCGAACGAGCCAAAACGCCTCAGGCACGGAAACTACATAACGCACGTTAGTGTACAGTAGTCGTGTGGTCTATGATCTCTACAACATACATACGCACACATGTAAAGATGTAGTGTACACATCTACAGCAGTTCTAGTTTCTCTTCCGTCTGATACATTCAATACGTATTGTAATGAACATCGGGTGTTTTCAGTTACAGGCAGGCGACGGTGCATACCTCGCAGTTCGTGAGCTGACCTGTGGCACTTCGTCCGTCCTACGGGTCACAACCCTTCAACCCTGAGAAATTTCAATCTGCACAGCACCTGCCGTGTGACAAACTTCGATCCTTCAACATGTCCTGATCCGATCTGCCCTGACAAAGACAAACTCCTCCAAACTGTCCTGATCATCCCTTCGACATTTGAAAGATACCAACATGGCCTACTGTAGGCCTTCGCACCTGCCCTTAAACTGCCCAGCGATATTTCTTTTTGTCGACCCGTGCAATACCACCCCGTGGTTGAAGTCTGACCCATTGGGACGAACAGACTTGACCCGTTCAACCCGCCGCATGCGTAGCCTGCTTCCCCGGCGGCTGCTACTGCTGCCTCCATGTGGATGCCTTTGCAAGGTATCATTCACTTGTTCAGGGCTACAACGGGGTTTATCAAGGTTCACACATCACAGTTTGAGGCAGACCGGTCGACTCCGAGATTCCACCTGCATTTTTACTACAAGTGTATGCTTCTCTCCATCAGATCTGTCGTTGCCTCCATAACATGTATGAATAAATTAAGCAAAGAACACTTGTGTTATGGAGCTGATCTCGTACGGCTAGGCTCGAGCTTTACTTCAGACAACACCTTCATGTTTCCGCGTTTTCCCTTCGTCAGCTTTTGGGCAGGAAACGCCTGCAACAAACTAATGAACGGGGAAATCCCACAAAAACTCACGACAACTATTGTGTGTGCTGCTGTCGAATAATCCCACGTGCTCGCAGTTCACCAACCCGACCTTCACAACGAGTTATGGAGGCGAGGCGAAACGTTCGGCCGTTGACTGCTCTAGCGGTTTCTCTGTTGTCACTTTCGAGCTACCAGCCGGTGCTTGTTGGAGCCGATGACACGATTAACGGCGTTGTCAGCGGGGCGTTCGGTAAGATTCACACGCGAAAGAATGTCACTTAGCGAAGTGCCTCACGCAGCGAAGAATACCACCCACGTGCAGCAGAAGAAGTTTCATACGCCAGTGGCCATAAGAGCGTGCAGACCCGCTCACCCAATGCCTGGTTGTCCAAGCTCTATCTCCTGCTGCAGTGAGTGCGTTTGCACTGCTCGCAAAATGAAATGAGCCGACAGGCCGGCACAACTCTCCGGCAGAGTGTTTTTTTTCTCCGCTTTTAAGCGAAAACATTACGCAAGCATATGGCGAGACCGTAGAGCTCGGACGAGTTCCGGTGTTGGAATCATCGTTGGGGAGGCTAATCTACACGGAATCGAATTCGTGGTTAGAGTCCTAGACTGCTTGTTGTTATCCACAGGCCATTGGATCATGCGTGTTGCGGAGGAGTTTCACTGTTAGAATCCCCATCCAACCGTAGAGTCACTGGAATTGTTTGACTGGATGTTGAATATCTTGTTGTCGGCGGCAGATTTCGCTGGTCAGCAGCTGACGGTCTTGAAGGAAGACGTCCTGGTGGACAACGACGTTTTCACATCCTACACAGATGAAGACGGACAGGTATGCGAATGCCATAATACATCAAGACGGCAAGAACTCATTTCACACACTACTGCGACATGCGGTGCCTCCCGACTCATCACACTCTGTGGGTTTGTTGTCAGCCACGCGATCCGATATCCGCCACCCTCACTCTTTTCCGCTACCTGCTACGCGTTGTTCTCCGAGTGAAGTGGATCACGACCAAAGATAACGGAGATGTCATCGACCTCACCGTCTGGACAAGGTATGTCGTACGACGCCAATACTCTACACGGTCGAGACAGTTTCCCTGTGACATATTTGGGGCTCATACAATCATCGCAGACTTCTCATTCAGGGTCGCGTGCCGTCTCTATCGAACAGGTGCTGTCGACATATTTCTTCTGTCTTTCCTCTGAATTGTGGTAATATGCTGTTGCACAAGCAGTCTCACGCCATTCCCTATGTGTCATCATTCTCATGGAAATGTGGTCTCTGCGCCCCGGCTTGTTTCTGCGCCTCTCGGCTGTCACTTACAGTGGCATGGTGGCTGGCATGTGCTGGTACCAATACGAAGCTACAGGGCAAAGCATATGGCAGGTGAGCGGTTTCAACGCGTGTGTTTAACTGTAAGTCGCTTTTAATCCAGGCAGGGGTTGACGATGAAGCGATAAATGGTACGGCCTACAGCACAGAAATATTGACGCCTTCAATACGTACGCTTTCTCTAAAATGTCGACAGAATGAGCAATGAAAGAGGCTCATTACGGCCGACCGCCGACCAACACGAAAAGTGGTGACTATTAACACCCCAGCACAATCACACACCCAGGCAAAGAACATACCCAATCCCTGCTGCGTGTATGCCTCACGTCACCGTCGATTTTTGCTGTGAATACAGACCTATGCGGAGGACATGCAGGAAGGCCTGGAGGGCATCGAGGTCCTGGACGACAACGACCTAGGATTTCAAACGCTCAACTCGTTTGGACTAGGGTACAGACTCGTCGGCACAACTTCATTTAAGGACAGGACCTTATCTGGAGCTCAGTCGCTGTACGACTACCGCTACGTGGTAAGTTGGTTCCCGTCTCTTTTCTTATCTTAGACCTTTTCAGTCATGCTGCATGGGTGTGACTATTTGATTTCCGGGTTCTACCTTCTTCTTTGCGGAATAAAATTTCATATGGCCATGGCGAGCTGGCAGAATGGAAGAGCGCATCTGCTAAGCATATACCACACAGGCAGCAGTTAATGTTGTATGCACCTGTCGGTAGATATTGTATTCCCGGCCCTTGGATCAATATAACAGTGCTTGAGGCCTTGCCCACCGCCATCCTCGTTCCAGAGCAATATTCCAGCGTTTTGGTCGTGGGCAAACCCCACGAATGAGCCACAGTGGGAGCGGGCCGTCAACGTGGACATGATCATGAACATGGAAATCATGCTCTGGGCCGCCGTCAACGGCGGAGACGCCGAGTACTCCGATGCCGTAGAAAAGTGAGACGGGCCTAACGCTCGGATGTCCTTGGGCACCTCGGTTCAGACGTCTCGCTGGCAAGCAGTGTTTCATGACGCCGTGTGCAAGTTGACGACGAAGTGCCAAAATATTGGGTCTTCATCAACATGGACAATGTTGGAAAACGTACCTTTTGACCAGTGAGCATCCAATGCCGGAGGCCTCCTTGTCTATGATGCCCAGAGGAAGGGCCACCCTTGCTTCGATGCGAAAGTTGAATTCTTGACAACCCAAGGAAATCTCTGTGGCGAACATCGACCTATACTGAAGCACTAAATTAGGTTCCGACGCATGAGTGCCCTTGAGCCAGGTGAACGTGACTACTGTAGTCCTCTTTCCGCCGGGAAAAATATCGTGCCACCCAACTTTGCCCATCTCTAGATTCGCTCGACCTATTATCCATCCGTGTCTCGCTCGCAGCCACGCCGACACCACGTGGGCAGACCTTGTAAGGGATGACTACAGCACGTATCATGTGGCGGACTACGACCCATCGACGGGGGAGCTAGTAGACAAAGGTAAGGCTGACAACACGATGTGAATGATTGGTAACCCAATTATTGGCGGGTGTTCTAACTGTCGTCCGTCCCTGCTGGCGCAACCAAGGTGCCGCGGTAGTACAAACGTGTACCGTCGCTGACAGGCCTGAGAATGGTTTACCGCTCCTGCATACAAAATAATATTGTCCGCTTTACGTATGAGATACCACGCCCCTAGAAACGAAGATCGTCGTAGCGATCCGGGAAACACACAGACCCCGCCGACGCCGCCTTTCTCAATCCTCGTTGTGTAGATGTCCATGCGTCGGAGTTGACCTGCGGGCAGATGCCTTTCTTCACGACGCGAAGACACGAAGAGGCACACTTTTGGGCAAATGTCAACTGATTGCCGATCAATGTGCTCGTGTTCCGTTTGGGGCTGTTGCTATGTTGTTGTTGCTCTTGCCCGTTCATACCACCCCACCCCCATCAATCCTTCCCACCTCCTCTGGTATAGGTACGTACTTGCCACCGCGGAGTTCGCCTCTGCTTGTTCTATTTTGTGCACGATGATATCCTCAACTTCGGTCAGAGATTCCCGGTGATCTCTTCCCGAAAAAAGAATGTACATCACTATCTGGGATTACCCTGAGGTTCATTTCAGGGGAAACTCATGCTGGACTTCACCGTCAAGGTACCGGATTTTTGCAAACCCGATAAAAAAAGTCTGAACGAAAATTCGTGCGGGACTGATGACCAAGATCTATGCCGACATGGCCTATTGGGGTCGTTGTTGCCCGAGCTATCGTCAAGCAGCCTTCCCTCCCCCCACCCCGAAGGACGAAGCGTGTCGTGCTGTGAATCTACCTCTTCGTGCTTGGCAAGCCGGGACGGGGAGACATTTGTCGTCTTGATACAGAGACGCCCTTTGAGAGCGCCCCCCATAAGAATGATTCCATGGGACCCCACCGGAAATGGCTCGGGAGCACCCGTTGGCGGAAAGGTATGCCTCTTTGACCATGAGAAACTCGCAACACCAGATCCCGACGGTTTTTATCAATGCAGAGCCCGTGCTGATCTTGGAGGTGATCTAGGAAGCAAGCATTCGTCCTTGTAGTACCCGTCGATATTCCGACCACACCTTGTACCGTCGTCACATTATCTTGCACAATTCTCTCCGCAGGCACGTACCAGGGGTGGCAAGACGACTCTACTTGGTCCAGGGGGCAGGCATGGGCCATCTACGGCTTCACTATGGTATACCGCTATCTCAAGGAGCAGAGGTTCCTGGACTATGCCATCAACACCCTCAGGTAAAAACACCACATCGAAAACGCATTCATCAGGTGAATTCACTCCCTGCTTCAGAAACGATGCATTGGTGAAGGGGATAGGAAGGCCGACAGGGCACGTTGCTTGCGGTTTCTGATTCTCTACACTATGGAATACAAAATTGACCACTGCCTTGCCAACTACCTGATGACGCGTCCTGGTCTTCCAACCCTCGTGACAGCTACTTCGTCGACAACCTTCCCGACGACAACGTGCCCTACGCCGACTTCGACGCTCCCGTGGACTCGGACAACCCGAAGGATTCGTCAGCCACCGCTATCGTGACCTCCGCCCTTTTCGAACTCTTCGAACTAACCGGTATGTGGTTACGCTGTATTGGATGCCAAACGTTGATGCTACAAACGACTCGGTTTGTTCTCCGCTGATTGCTTGATTTTTCCTCTGTAGTGGTACTCTGTGTCTCCGTGCCACCCCAACACCCGACAAACCCACGCAGCCATGTCTTCTTCATATACCTCCACAGGCTGCGGCATGTTTGGTTTCACGTTGCTGCTGCGAGCGCCCACTACACACACCTCCCCTTCCAAAGCCTCTCGTGATTTTCCTGCCGACAAATCACAGGAGAACCGACCTACCTCGAGAAGGCCCAGGAGTTCTTGACTTCGCTGCTGCTATCGTCCACCTACTTCGACTCCTCCGCAACCGACGGGTGGCAAGCAATCCTCAGAAACTCGGCGGCGGCATGGGGTGATGAGGCGGTGGGATCCGTCACCGCGGACTACTTTCTCCTGGAATCGATGGTGGGTCGCAGTGCTTTGTACGTATGATTCTTGTACGACGCGTGCTTGTTGCGACAACCGTGTTTCTCTTGCTTCGGGCGATGCCAACCATTGCACGGTACACGGTAGGTTGAGCGGGAACAGGGATTACTGGAAAGCAGGTATCGCCAAAACATGTGCACATGCCGATGTTTACGTTCTTGCGATCCCTCTCTCCCACCTCTGCCTGTGGCAACAGGGAGACATCCCGAAACAAGAGTTGATATTTTGAAAGGTCCGGATGTCACGCCCGTGCCCCGTCCCAACGCCAACCTAACTCTTCGAAATAGACGGGGGTCGTCTTTCGCATTGGCGCACCAGAAAATGAGTAGCCAGACATGGCTGAACATGTTTCCACCGGAACGATCAACACAAGGTTGTAGCCAATTTTTTCCAGCTTGTCACTGAGGTTGCCGGGCCGTGTTCTCTTGCCATCCTATTCGTTGGTGCTGACGTCAGGTCCGGTACAAGACCATGGCCCCTTCTATCATTCTGCGGAACGAGGCGGAGGTCAGTATCATGGACACCCAGCCGTCGGTCCAGTTCTCCGGAACCACTCTCGACAACGACATCGACCTGTCCGGGCTATCGGCGGACTCTCCCGTCATCACTTGGTGAGATGTCGAGATTCGACGAAGTGAAAGAGAGAGTTTGGCCAAAACAGCGGCTAGCTAAATAAAGATGCGTTCTTCATGTGGAGCTCCGAGTGGAAGCGTTGATGTTCTCGTGCAGACGTGTATTGCTCATGCCACTCGACATAACTCGAAGCCTCCAACGCCTGCCTCGGTGGACGATCGCGGTATAAGGCTGGATAATATGTACGTGAGCGATACTTCAGAACCAACGTTTGCAAATTCAGCTCTTGCAATAAGTGTGTGCCTAGACATTCCATTTGTTCGATTCCGGGTACCGCTCATCACCTGGGACCTCGAGTGACGACGTGCCAAGTCTCAAAATTATTCCCAAGCACTTCGCCATTGTGGGGGTATCAATGGCAGTTCCGCTGACGTGCCATCGCCGGTCAAATTTGTATGTTGCGCCGCTCGACCATCGTTCGAAAGAAATACCCAGTCGGTTCGTCCTCGGCCATTAAACCAGGTTCGGGGTGACGCTGACAGACGCCGGATACGTTCCGAATTCGCTGACACTCGGGAGCGGTTCAGCGTCCGTGACAGTGGACATTGAACAGCCCGACGGGGGCTGGAACACGGGGTCAAACGGGTGAGAAGCCTTGACACGAAGTTTCGTCGCTTTTTTTGGCGTGAAGAACGAAACGAGTTTGCCTGTCATGGTTGGTAGCACTCGGCACCCTGTTGAAAGGCCGCAAAGGTGACTTGTATCAATACCCCGCTAAGGTCCGAAATTCTCTCAGACAAGAGGTTGGCCGGTGGAACTGAACAATTCAAATCGAGATGAAAAAGGTTCCCAAGAAGCACTTTCAAATTTGTAACGATGAGTGAAACGGTGGGTGTTCGCCTTGCACGAGAAACCTACGTCTTGTTGCCCACCAGATATTTCCTAGACTGACAGCACCTTTTCGCGCCCTGCAATGGCGGCATGTCCGGGTCGTTGCTGGCGCGAACAGAGTAGGGTCAGGGCGCCTGCCACACATCTCTCACTCTCCCCACCCCGCTCTTTTTCGTCGTCGTCCTCCACGACCCCTCGCGTCGACTTGATGGTCCGTTAAATTTACAATGCCAGGGTTTCCTTCTCCGCGGCGGCGGGAACGTTCTCGGCGCTGTCCACGGTAGACAGCGTTACGCTTTCCTTCGGCCAGCTTTTGGCGGTAACCACGGCGGCGACCGTCGACTACCTCGTACTCGGACACCAATTGAACACGTGAGACATGCCATAAGAGCGTGTGCATGATACTCGTGTCGAAACAATCGTCAGCTGGCACAGGACGTTGCGGACGCGCCGAGTCGAGCGGAGCACGAACATTCACTCCACGCGGTTCTCGCTTTGGTGTCTTGTCCACCATCAGTATTTTCCACAGACACGTTAATTGTCGCTATCGCAATTGCCCGGACTCGAACCCACTCGTTTATGAAATCGTGGGATTCTATTCTCCGTCTCTAGGAATGGGAAAATGGTTTTTCAATATTTACTCTGAACGCTATGTCGACACAGAGGGGAAAATCAAAAGCTTGACTCCTGGCGGCAACCCCGAAATCTCGCCAGCAATAGCCCTGCGTAAGTGTGTCCACGGGTAGGATGCGTAGAAATGCAAGACCGAGTCGGGTGTCTGTTCACCCATGTGAACCGTGGCATTTAATTCGCACTGCCATCCTCCGTACCGGACGTTTGATGTAATCGACAACATGTCAGATCGCTCGAGACTTGTGACGCTGGAGTTGGTGAGGCCTGCGATTCTACAAGCGGTGAGTGAGCATCTATCTGCTTTTTCCAGTCGAACGCCGATACAGAAACGGCCGTTTTTCGGCTGCTGCTTATTCCGAGGCCAATAACAGAGGCCATGGTCTGTGGGTCGACGTAGATTGCATGCTCACATGCGACATCAAGCAGGAAACGAGGCGTGTGAGCCTCGGATAAATCGTTTCTCCTGGTAGGCTATTGTTCGAAGCGAACCTGACGTTCCAGCTGGTATGCAAAGGTGGGTGGCGGACGTCCGCGTGTATTCTTGCAAGAACACCACAGTACTCACGACCGGCGGCAACAGCCTCGAAAGCATGAGCATCCAACGCAACTTTACCTCATACATGATACCTGCAAGAAAAGGCCTCACACCTACGCTCGACGCGTTTCCCGAAAATCATGTGTCGTCCCGGAAAGCAGTCACGACGTGCAGCAACGGCCTCGAGGGTGTGAGTGATGCGAACAGCGTGGTGTGCTGTCCTGTGGGCTGTGGCCAATGCGCAGGAGACGGTTGCCTTACGACTGGCGCTGACGCTGGCCTCGGCTGGGAGTCATGCTGCGGGCTAGGGGTCAAGGCTAGCGACGTGTACTGCGATGAGACCAACGAAGCCCCCTGCATCATCGGCAGCCGCCCCGAATAGATCGCGGCAGGTGCTACAACCATCCGTGATGTCAGACGTTGGAGAACAACATGCAACAACTCCCAAAATCCACCAGAGCACCTACCTGTATTCGGGCCCCGTCGCTGCCCGCAGCGTGGCACAACACGAACCTTGACGATCAACACGGGGGTGGAGCTGTGTCGACAGTGATTCGGGCGCTTCGGGAAAATTTGTCAACCCCAACCATCTCGGGAGCATCGTCGGTTTTTCGGCGGTGGGTCCGTCATGATGCAACACAGTGGCTGCCGTTGGTCAAGGTGAAACGGTTGTTGGCAAATGGCAACCCTCGTGAGCGCAGGCGGTGACCGAACACCGTAGTTATGTAGTGTTGTGTGCATGCAGCAATTTCAAGCCAACGCTGGTTGTGTGCAAAGCTCCGATAATGTTTGAATGTAGCGTACGTGAGCGCCACGCCTCGCGAGGAAGAATGTTCGGCCGCTCGATGTAACAGATTCTTCGCAAATTGACTGAATCCACGGTAGGTACAACAAGACCAAGAAGTTCTCAAAATTGTCAAGTATGCCATGGGGGCCTTGTTGGATGTTTCTGTCTACCCGACTTTTGTTCAACCATGGATGGTACATACAACGTGAAATGCATGCGCTTGAGGTTGGTGCAGACTGTCGTAGTGAAAAGGTTCATGCATTCTTGGAAAAGTAAATACTGCTTTTCAAAGAATTTCCTGTAGACGAATCGTGTTGTGTCCCCGGTGCGAACAATTTGAGCAATGCCTCCCACCCGGGAGTTCTATGTTTATTCCTGTGGCAAACGAGTACAACTGACAAAACCGTAGCAACTCATTTGCAGTTTATGGAATTTCACTTCTTCGTACTGTTCCGGGGATTGAAATTGTTGGTGGTTGCGCGCTGAGGACAGCTGCTCTACTGCGTAATTCGGCCGAGGGGGAGGATAATGCTCGTTCCTGGCAAACAGGAGGCCATGTGTACTCTCTGCAGAGCTGGATTCATTCATTCGTAGAAATATGGGGTTTGAAAGCACGGATTGTGAGATGTGTTATCGTCACGTGTGACATGGGTTGGTTTTGAGTGCGTGCAGCAGAGACTGTAGACTACAGGTCATACGTAGGTCTCGCTTGTCTTATTGGTACTATAGTAACCCTCGAGCTCGAAGACAAACGCGGCCGTGTGCTTGTACTGTGGGGAATGGTGTGTGTGTTTGTGAGTAGCGTCGACAGAGCAAACCGGCTCAACAAGGTGCTATTATTTGCATCGACCTCGTTAATCGGCTGACCAGTGTCTAGACGTCAGTCTTAGTGCGATTGAAAACACAAAACACTTCTATCTGCCATGAACTGGGACCCCGTGAGGGGGCAGCATGGGGAAGGCTTATCTATCCTTCGGATCAAAGACAGAAATAGCAACAACAGAAGAAAACTGGACGCGTCTACTAAGGCTAGTACCTTGTACTCTGCTTCGTTTAGGAGTGCTTTCACCATTATCCTCCTTGTTTTCGCTCCCATCATTCATTCTGATCCTCATTTTGACAAGAATGTCTGAGCAGTTCTTCCTTACAGCCCTACGTTTTTTGTTTTGGGAAAGGTCTGTTTGCGCCCTACGCCACATATTTATTGGGTGAGACTGTTTTGGTGACGTATTAACTTCACGAGAGGTCGACGACCGTCCTTCACATGGACGAAAGAGGGGGTGCTCAAAGAGCGGCTCCCACAGCAAGGAGAGGCCCGTGAATCATCGTGGTGCCCCCTACCAAACGGCAATCTTACCAGTCTGCGTGACACAAAATCATCCAGCATATGTATCGAACACCAAAGTTCGCAGACCCACGAACACCCTCCCTGGTTCTTCATGCAAGTGACTAACCATCAATGGGGTAGGAACGCCCCTGGATACATCAGAAAATACCAACATGGTAATATATGGAGGGGGAAACCCGGCGTCTAGGCAAAACCCCTCGAAAGAACCCTACCACCACGATAAAAACCGTCGCTATCACAGCGGATCACAACGGCCGCACTTATTAGAAAGGCCAAGGCGAAGACAAGAACGCGAGGAACTACGTTCCCCCGGACGATGGTCTCCCAACGCCCCCTACTCCTGCCATTGGTACACAGACCGCAACGGTTATGCGCCTTTCCCCACATGGAAAGCATGGCCTCTCCCAAGTGCTAGAAACTGCTACAGCTACCGGCAAATTCATNTAGGAACGCCCCTGGATACATCAGAAAATACCAACATGGTAATATATGGAGGGGGAAACCCGGCGTCTAGGCAAAACCCCTCGAAAGAACCCTACCACCACGATAAAAACCGTCGCTATCACAGCGGATCACAACGGCCGCACTTATTAGAAAGGCCAAGGCGAAGACAAGAACGCGAGGAACTACGTTCCCCCGGACGATGGTCTCCCAACGCCCCCTACTCCTGCCATTGGTACACAGACCGCAACGGTTATGCGCCTTTCCCCACATGGAAAGCATGGCCTCNTATGTATCGAACACCAAAGTTCGCAGACCCACGAACACCCTCCCTGGTTCTTCATGCAAGTGACTAACNTAACCTCGATCACCGTTGGTAGGTGATGCCGAGGTCCCCCGTCCCTTTCAGGTAGCNATTGTTCCGTTGTCGGAACGAACTTGACCGAAATATCTCCCGACCTAAACAATCCGCGGGTGAAATGAAATCTCACGTCGATGTATTCCGTGCGACCTGAGCTGAGGGGGTTCTGCACCAACGCTATGGCCCCCTGGTTGTCCTCAAGGACCTGGATGCTGCTACCACTGGTCTCTGGGGCAACAAACGAAAGCACAGTACGCACAAACTACGCCTCCTTGACGCCCTCCCCGGCAGCAATGTACTCGGTTTCCGTCGAAGACAGAGACACGATGCTCTGTGTCTTGCTACCGTGGCTGACTACGGTACCTCCAACCGTCGTCGCCAACCCTGACACCGAACGCCTATCCTCCGTGTCGGCGTAGCTAGCGTCTACGTACACGGCCAACTAACCTCGATCACCGTTGGTAGGTGATGCCGAGGTCCCCCGTCCCTTTCAGGTAGCCGGGGATCTTCTATATGGCATCCCAGTGCCGCTTCGCCGAGGCGTGGGCGTGGCGCGCTACCGCACGCACGGCGAACGAGACGTCTGGACGCGAGAAAGTCGACACCCACATCATGCTAACGATGGCCTCCCTCAGTGTCCACTCCCCTCCCTTCTCGTCATCTCGCTTCGGTCCTAGGTCGACACCAGGGGAAGCAGGGATGCGGGAGGTCGATTGTACATCAAAGCGTTTCACCATGCTATCGATGTACGCGGTTTGCGAGATTCTAAGAGTCCCAGCCTCTACATTTCTCTCAATGGCACACCCGTCAAACCGTTCGCATTCTAGGGATTCCACCTAGAAAACGCAAGAAAAAAGGTGTTTGGAAGAACGCGTTTCAGAAAGTGACGGTTGAAAAATCGTGTTCCGCTGTCTCCCCGCTAGTGCCGGTTGGAACCCCCACCCGTGCTCTTGATTTTTAAATTTCCGCGAAACACGGAACACGCGGCGGCGTGATTTGGCGTGATGTTGGCACGCGCGTTGCCGTCCTGACGCAAATGGCGCGCCTACAGCGTGGTAAGATTCGGCATGAGAGGCATGGCCAAATCATGCAGATGATTACGGCGGCTCTGCTGTGTGCAGTGGCTGGAGAAGAGGAGCTTTTCCTCGTCCTGGCGGTAGTGGCAATGCGGCAACTCCATTGCGTTCCCAACTCCAACCACGCTCCCAACTCGAACCACGCCGCCGGCCATAGTTTGCAAGTGCAGATTTCGCAATTGGCGGCCCTCGTGGAGGAGTCGGTGAAGAAGAAGGAGCCTGACAGCGTCGTGGCTGATGCAGCCAGTAGGGGCGGCTGGGTTGCTGCCTCCGAAGGCCAACAAGAGCCCCTGCAGCCGCACGGCGGAGACGGGGGATTTCTCCAGCAGCAAGCGAGAGATGGTGGGCAAGGACCACGTCAGCTACTGGAAGGCGGCTGGGCCAGCAGATCAGGAGCGAATCCTGCGAGACCAGCCGGAGTGGGCCCGGGTATAGGACCGGACTACGGGGAAGCGAGGGGGTTAAACCCCTCAGGTGAGATACCCGTGATTCGAGGAAATGGAGAATTCCTCGACGGCTACAGCAGTAGCCACATGAAGAGAGTAACAGTCAATGCCCCGCGTCTCGAAGGGGAGAGTCGCGGCCATGGGTATGACTCGTGGAGAAAGTCGCTTATCCAAGCGGCCAAGACTGTAGGACTGGACGGCCAATTGATCGGCAACAACGAGAGACATGCACCTGTCGGCAACCCAAACGTGCCAAGCTCGGAGCTGTACCGCCTCCAATACACCAGCGACGAGGTCCAGAGGGGCCTCCAAGCGTTCCATTTTGTGACCACTGCCATCGTCAGAGAAGCCGACAAGGGGATCATGAACAAATGCGAGACCGCAAAAGAGATCCTCGCGGAACTCGACAAAAACCACGATCCGGAATCGCAGGGCTCCAAACAAGCCCTCATGAAGCAAATGTTCAACTTCACGATCCCAACACACAGCAGCAGAAACCCCATCGAGCACCTGTACTCGCTCGAGCTGCTGTTATCGCGCCTACGCGAAAAAGGGCTCATCGCTGACGCACCCTTTGTACTCGCCCACTTCGTTGGTTCCCTCCCACCCGAGTACCAACAAGCGAAGTTCCTGTTGGAGACAGCAACGGCGCTGGATAGGGCCGAGATCGTCAGGATCGTGAGCACGGTGCACGCGAGCCTGCCCGAGGGGACGAAGGCCTCGAAGGGCCAGCGGAGGGCGGAGCATGCTCTCCTCGCGAGCGACGGTAGCGGTGGGGGAAAAGCGCCGGGCCTCGGCAACGGCGGCCGCCGCAAGGGTGGCGGTGGCGGCGGCGGCGGCGACGACAACCAGAAGGGGAGAGGGGATGGCGCGAAGGCTGGTGGCGGCGGCGGAGGCCGCGGCGACGATGCGGGTAGCGTGCGCGGTCGCTGTTTCCGGTACGGCAAGAAGGACCACCAGGTGGCCGACTGCACCGAGAGCAAGCCCGTGCGATGTGAGACATGCAAGGGCTACTACTACAGGCACGACAAGAGCAAGTGCCCGACCGAAGAGGCGGTGCTCGTGGTGGAATTGCCGGCAGGGACGGGGGGAGCGTCTGCGGACGCCACAGCACTGGACGTGGCAGAAGAAGCGCTGGTGGTAGGTGACATCTCAGGCGAGTGTCACAGAGTCGTTGGTCGAGGGGGTGTAGAGCAGGCTAGGCGGGGTAGGTATGTTGCCGATACCGGCGCTACCACCCACATGTTCGCGAACTCAGATGGGTTCGTTCGTTACGAAGAGTGTGATCGACGTGTGNGCTAGGCGGGGTAGGTATGTCGCCGATACCGGCGCTACCACCCACATGTTCGCGAACTCAGATGGGTTCGTCCGATATCAGGAGTGTGATGGACGTGTGCACGTCGCCGCCGGAGAAGCCTTCCCTATTGTAGGGTACGGCGACGTGACGGTCACCCTTAGCTCGCGCTACGGGACATTCTTGAAACGGGTTGCACACGTTCCTTAAATAGACTACAACCTAGTCTCTCTGATGTCCCTCTTCAACGACGGGTTCAAAACCAAAACCCTGGACAAACACGAGTTGAAGTTGGAGAAAGAGGAGGGGAAGTCGGTGTTCTTCCCCCGATGCGGTAACCTGTACGTCCAAAACGGTTTCCGCACACACACCGGAGATGCCTGTGCCGCAATTGCTCCTGGCAACGCGAAAGCGTCCAGCACCCCCGTTGACATCAACGATTTTCGCTGCGCGCACGGCCACTCCCACGAGGTGCTGCTGATGACCACGGCGAAG